CTACCACATCCACCTTGTGGGGGAATTGACAAGGACACTGACTAGCCAATGGTCAGTCCTCATTTTCAGCATCAAGCTGGACATTGCTGCTCAGCCAGGACACGTGGTTTCTCAGTGCAGGTCGGTAGCTTCCCCATGAGCAGTGAGTGACTCGACTTCGCTTGTCTCAGTCTCAGAGAATAGGATTTTTCCTAGCTGGACAGACAGGGATGCAGTGGAGTTAGTTGCCCACAAATATATTTCGCAGAGGGCAAGCTATGAACACCTTCCATCAGTCTGGATGGAGAGCTCCGCTGGTAAATCAGCTTCCCTACCCTCCGGTGAGCTAGAGAACTATTAGTAGGCACAGAGCAGTCACACGGGGGAAGTCTCTGGCAGAATTGGAAATGAGTCTCCACTGAAACCCAGTTCTGTGCTTCCTTCTAAAGGGAAGGGAAGGCAGGCAGTTCAGAATCAGTTCACACATGGGAGGAGTTTGGGGCTCCCTTATAAATGCAGATCTCAGAGGAACCATCAATATCTATTGCAATCTTTTTGCAATTCAAAGTGCCAAATGGCACTCCCAAGCACAAACAGCTCCATAGCTGGGAAGAGTAGATTACTTCATTGCATGTCATGGTTACGCTAGATTTTTTTTTTACCCTAAACTCACCCTTCACATATAAGGACGGAGGTTTTGGTTGTGCAGTTATGCTTTGAGTTCGTTGCAACTTAAATATAGATGTAAAAGATAAAAGACAATGCATGAGAATTAGCAAATGGATCGGATTCTCTTGCTGAGCCTGAAGGATGTAGCAAAGTGAAATGATGAGTGTGAAATTGACTCAGCAATGAGAGGTTTATGGGGGCATGCTACCAGCAGAGCCAGACACTCCTGAGGTTTGGTTTGGAGAAGCACTCCGGTGATCACCCCATTCATTTCCCAGGTACCAAAGCTGCTGAGGTCTGGGGCTCTGGCAAGGTTTGGGGGCACTGGTTTGGATTGGTACTTTATGTGAAGTGATCTACAGATCACTGGTCTGAATAAATAATATTCCCTAGCTCTTATCTATTGCTTTTCATCCCCAGATCACAAAGCAAGTTACAAAGGAGGTCAGAATGATTATCCCCAGTCTGAATATGTCCAACTTCAACTTCCAGCCATTGGGTCGTGTTAAACCTTTGCCTGCTAGATTGAAGAGCCCTTTACCAAATGTATGTTTCCCCGTGTTGTTATAGCATTGTGTGGAGAATCAAGTTTTCCAAGGGATATTTGCTCAGATCAGATCGCTGCCTGTTAATGTGAAAGGTATTTTTATGTTGCTCTCGACATTTCATTCTCCAAATATTTCTTCTTGTCATTGTTTAGAGAGAAGCAGACTAATAAGTGGCTAGTTTTGGCGCGGCACTCTGCATGTTGTGGCTAAGCAATGCTCATGGCTGTTTATCATCTTTTTGTTTTCTCCATGCAAACAGTTATAAGCTCAGTTCAGAGAATAAGCCGTGCAGAGTCCGCTGCAGTGTCATTTATTGCGCTGTTTAATGAGGCTCCTTCCCGTCATACTTCAGAGAGATGGAAAAACTGTTTAGACAGGGTTAGTTGAGTCTCCCCCACTGCTAAGGGAAGATGACCAGTGATGTTTAATAATCTTTCAATGCTTGCGCCGTGTCTCATGTTTGTCCTAAATGCAGGTCCGGTTGACACTGCTGAAAATCAGTGTGAGCTGGTTATTTCAGTCAGCATGCAGAGGACTCTTTACTCTAAGGCTTTGATTTTCATTCAGACACCAGTAAATGGCTCCCTGGTCCAGATACTGGCCCAAGGCAGGGTGGAGTTTTGTTAAGAGGATCTGTCCTAAACATCTGGGAGAGCAGGGAATAGAAGGGAATTGTTCTGTGCCCAGGGAAGGAAGATTGCTAGATGACTTTCTGCTGAGTTTAGCAGTATGACTGATCGTCCTTAATTATTTGACTGCCAGCTTTCTGTTGGCATAAGGAAGTGACCCGTCCACTTGAGTTTGGCTCGGATAAGAGATGGGCCTGAAGTGAAAATCCTGGATCTGAATGTGCCCAAACTTTGAGGGAGGTCAGATCTGGATTAAAACTTTAAGACTGGGCCCTACCTCTAAAACAGGGGCAGGCAAACTTTTTGGCCTGTGTGCTGCATCGGGTTTCGTAAATTGTATGGAGGGCTGGTTAGGGGAGAGGGTCGTGGCCTGGCCCCCACCTCCTATATGCCCTCTCCCCCCCGGGACCCCTGCCCCATCCACACACCCCTGCTCCCTGTCTCCTGACTGCCCCTGGACTCCCACCACCCCATCCAACTCCTCCTCTCATTTCTGATGCCCCCCCCCGGGACCCTTGCCCCATCCAACCACCCCTTCTCCCTGTCCCCTGACTGCCCCCAGAACCCCTGCCCCTGACTGCCCCCTTCCACCTCATCCAATCCCCCATCCTTCCTGACTGCCCCCCCAGGACCCCTGCCCCCATTCAACCCCCTGTTCCATGCCCTCTGACCGCCCCAACCCCTATCCACACCCCCGCCCCCTGACCACCACCCCGAACTGCCATGCCTTCTATCCAACCCCCCCTTGCTCCCTGCCCCTTACCGCGCTGCCTGGAGCACTGGGGGCTGGCGGCGCTACAGCCACACCACCCAGCTGGAGCCGAGCCACACCGCCGCCACCACGCAGCACAGAGCACTGGGTCAGGCCGGGCTCTGCAGCTGCGCTGCCCCAGGCATTCACAGCCCCGCTGCCCAGAGCACTGCGCCGGCGGCGGAGGGAGCGAGCTGAGGGCATGGGGGAGGGGAGACAGCAAGGGAGGGGTCGGGGTTAGCCTCCCGGGCCAGGAGCTCGGGGACCAGGCAGGACGGTCCCGCGGGCCGTAGTTTGCCCACCTCTGCTCTAAAAAGAAGCAAACCAAGCCCAGGATCTTACATCCCTGAATACAGCAGCTTGGGCCCAGAATCAGTCTTGCACCCCCCTGGGGAGCTGTGTGAAGGCAGGCAGGTTCCATTCACACAGGGGGTTGGAGTGGAACCTTACAGCAGTTCCTAGGGGCTCACCGTCCCTGAGTTCTGCTGTCAGTTTCAGGGTTGAATTTGGCCTGTTGCAGATGCCAAGCTAGAAACCTGCCCAGGTTTTCGGGGGGGTTTATGAGCCTGAGTGAATTTCCCAGCAAGCCTGGGTTGAGTCTGAAGGCTTGTAAAGACATGTGCAGCCAGGTCCCTTTCCCACAGCTCTAGCCCCTACGGACTAACTGCTCGTGAGCGCATACTGGGAGACTCCGCCCCCAGCTGCACATTGTGCCAAAGCTGGGGTATCAGGGACCCAAACAGCTCAGCTCACCAGCAGAACATCCATGGTGGGTATTCTTGCCACATAGCCCTGGAGATCAAGATTCTAGCAACAGAACAAGAGCAGCCCAGGTAGTGGCAGCGTACGCATCCCCCCAGCAACCCCATTCCCCTGGGGAGAGAGGTGGTCAGTCTCCATTGCCAAGTTGGAGCCCCGAGTGCCAGTTGTGATGGTAATTTATATGCAGTGTTACCAGCAGAGGTACGCTGCTGTTAGCAGCTAGAAATGAGCCTCTTTGGAAGACAATACCCTGGTCACTGAAAACACAAAGGGCTCTGGCTGTAGTTAGAGCAGGAGGGACTTGGTTAGTTTGAGCTTGGAAGGGTAGAAGGGAACACTTGCACCTGTAGGGAGGCTGATGAGCTAATGAGGTAACTAGCTACCAGCTGGATAGCTCTGAGAAGAAAGCAAGCAGTATGAAAGGCTGAGCCAGGGGTCAGGAAGGGGACTCCATGCAACTGCTGCTATGTTATGATGTACCTGGAGCATAAGCAGTAATAAAGAGTTGGTATCCTGGTGGACTGTGTGTGTCTGCTCGATTCCCAAAGAGATCCTGCCAGCCAGAGGTTCCAAGAGCTGAAGGGAGAACCCATTCACACCAGCTCTCAAATCCTTCTCATGAGTCTGGCAATATTGGGTTTCCTTCATCAATCCCCAGCTCCTGGGACCAGGGCTTTCATTTTGATTAAAAAGTATGGTTCTTGCCCTTGTGGTGGCTCAGAAAAGCTTGGAAGTGTGATCCACGTCCAGCCTAGTGTCTCAAAACCCAGAAGGCAAATTGGCTTAAAAATCATGAGATTTCTTTTAATCTCATGGCAGTTTGGCCATTGATTCACGATTTCTGAGTGCTTTGGATTGGGAATGCTGTATTCAACATGCACCCCGTCCTTATGAATTAGACTGAGACCTGCTTCACGTGGGCCACCCAATGGAGATCAGATGGTAACTGTGGCAGAGATAACTGCAATATGACATTGTCCTGCTGTTCCCATGCCCCTATACTGTACCTTGAAGGCAACAGCTGGAACAATTAGACTCCTCAGTTCAGATGACACAAGCTGTATGAATGACTGTATATACGGTATTTTGACCCCAGATAGCCAGAAGTGAATAGCCAGCTGCATCCATGGAAGTTCTCTGGAGGGGAACAGCTAGCCAAACTTCGGCCCATCTCACAAGTTTGGGATGCTGGTGGGTTATGGGTCACTGATCTGCAGTCCTATGATCCATTTTTTAAATGGAGTGAAGTAAAGCTATTGTATTGTGTCCAAGCTCTGTGGAACCCACTGGTCAGTGTGTTACACATTCTCCTGCGGTGCTTGATCTAGAGGGTGGGTGGATCTCTGGACTCAAGCTGCATCAACTTATGCCTCTAGCCCTGGAGGTTGCTGGTTCAATACCTGGTGTTTGCCTTCACATTTGCAACCCCCTCCCCATATGGCTGGGCCCCTTAGTTGGTTCTGTCCTGTTGATTATCCTGCTCAGTGCTTCACAGTAACATTGGGTAGCTTCTGTGGGGATGGCTAAAGCAAATGTGGTGCAGCCAATAAGGCTGCTCAGACTCTACCTGGGTTAGACCATGTGAGAAGCTACAAATTAACCTGGAGCTGAGCGGATGTCCCGTGACTGACTCAGGTGGGGAGGGATGAATGTCTGACGTGTAGCACTTGGTATTCAATCAAAACGTCAGATGGGGGCAAGGGACTATCTGTGGGGCAGCTAATAGCATGAAGGGACCAAGAGCATGGCATGCAGACAGCAACTGTTGCTGAGTTCCCCCGGCTATCAGGAATAGATCTGACAAGCAATTAGAGCATGAATATATTACACAGCCTATAGGGGATGCCTTTGTTAAAACTTGCGACCCATACTTAGCTGTTTACTCAGGCTGCAGCATGGAGGGTGAGCAAGATCCTACCTGCCTGTCTGTCTCTCTTTCCCCTTGCTGAGGTTGCTGGCTAGCTCTGCATCTCATTGGATATTTCAAATGCTTTCTGCACAAGTCATAATTAATGCCGAGTCGTGGAGCTGAGACCAGATGTGCTGCTGAGATTATCTCCCAGGGCAGACCGGCTGCTCTCTGCTTTCCAGCGTTGGGTGCATGGAAGGCTGCCAGTGCTGGGACTCAGAATGTGTCTGATGCCTGAAGTCAGGACTTTCTTTCTCTGCCGCTCCTGCTGTCTGACGCTGCCTGGCTTCTGCTTGAAGCTCAGTGCCTGCCATGTAGCTGAATGCTGCACAAGAACCAGAGGTACGCAACAGTTTTCCAGAGCTTACTGTTGTTATGGTTTCCCTTTGCTAGAGGAAATGCAGATCTTTGCATTAATACTTGGGTAAGCTCAGACACAGGCTAAATATAACTTCAGTCTTTACAGAGGTAAAACAGTGAGGAGGGTATGGTCTAGGGCCAAAAATGCTGTCTTCACCCCCAGACACAAAACTAGCTGCTAAGGAAGTTTTCAGTGGAGTTTTTTGCACCTGAATTTGTGTGTGTGTGTGTGTAAGTATACGCATGAGTGAACATGTCGTAACACGTATGAAGGATGGTCTTTTGTTGAAGGGACTAGAACTAAGGAGATCAGAGTTCAGTTCCCAGCTCCACCAGGGATTCCCTGTTTGACCTTGGGCAAGTCTCATAATCTCTCTGTTCCTCCAGTCCTGATAGTTGTTGTGTCCCTTTCTCCCACTCTGTCTGACTTGTCTAGTTAGAGCATAAGCTCTTAGAAGCAGGAACTTCCCCTGTGTGTGCATGTGCGTGCAGTGCCTTGCACAATTGGGCCTGTAGCTTCTACTGAAATACTAATGATGTGCACTGGAGGGTGTGTGTTGATGTACACAAGTGGGGAAAATGACTATGTCTGTGCATGATGGTGAATGTGTGTTTATGTGTCCACATGTGTGGAGGTGAGCATGCATGATGGTGTGTGGGAATGAGGTGTGTGTGTGTGTGTATTTGTGGTTGACCCTGTGCCCATCCATGATTTTGTGTATGTGAGAGTGACAGATGGGGGGGCTGGGAGGAGTGTATGAGATAGATAGAGCAGATGTCCATATGTGGGTTAGCATATATGTAACCCTGTGCAAGCTCTTGGGTCTGCGGGTGTTTGTGGTCATGTATGTCTGAGGCTGACAGCTGTGTGTGAATATGCATGTCTATGCTGAGAATGTATGTGCATGCAAGGATGAGCATGTGTGCTTGAATCTATCTCCCTGTGTGTGTAATAACACACACACACGAATGTTAGCTACACACATCTGCTTTGATCTTTCCACTCTGAGCGTATGCTGAGTGTTGTGTTCTCCTGGAGCAGCGATCTGAGCTAAAGGGAACCAAGATCTGCCTTTCTTGTTTCTCTCTGTAGTTTAGTTGGGATGGAGAAGAATGAAACCAGGAGGAGGTTATATTTCCTGCCCACTGCATGTCTGAACAGCATGTTTGAATGCATAGGCACTGTATGCCTGGAGCTGGTGGGTGAGCTCTTTAGACAGGGACAGAGAGCCAGTCTGTGAGTCAGTGCATCCTTGCTGGCTTGGTTTTCTGCAGAGATCCACCTAACTCTTTAAAGAACAGAGGCAGCTTGTTGGAACTCCCCACCCCCCAATTGTTCTAACCCATTTGTCTGGTATCTATTGGATCTTCCAGAGATTAAAGATGTGGTCCCAGGCATGTTCTTTTACTGCTTTGAAACCAAACAAAACGCCTGACTCTAGATAAGGATAGGACAAGAGGAGTTAACTGTTTAGATGCCAATAGCTTTGGGCCTGATTTCTAGTCTAACCCTGGCTGGCGGGTCTATAGTCTGAGTGGCATTGGCTCCCACATCTGCTGGGATGGGAAGAGAGAGCAGCGCAGGGCAGTAACGTCTTCCAACCGGATGATCAAAGACTGAGAGCAAAACGCTGCCAAATTCAGCGGGAGCTGCAGGCACCGGTGATTAAAAACAGGCCTGAGCCTCCAGGAGCCAACGGATTGAGCTGTGTGGAATTGGCTCCTAGTTTGCTTTTTGTTTCAAAGTTTGGACAAAGCCAATCCAGCCTTGGGGTGGGGGTGGGGGGCAAAGGGACCATGTGGCTGCCTCCTTTTAACAAGCCCTTGTTGGGCAGGGCTGGATGAGCTAGGAGATGCAGAAGGGAGACCAATTCAAAGAGAGTACGGTAGCACCTCGCTCTGTACCCTCCACCTCCGGTGGTGTGGAATGCCATGCCCGGGCTCCGGATCTGAAAGCTCCAGCCGACGCTGCCTGGGGGTGTTAGCTGGAGGTCAGTAGCAGACCCCTGAACTGCTGTATGGTCTAGCCATTGGGGGCAGAGCATAGTGCCACATTGTGTGTATGTGTTTGGGGCAGGGGAGAGGCCTCGAGTCTGCTCTGGAGCAGCAATAAAGTAGCTTTAATCCCATCCTCTCTGTCCAAGAGGTAGCTGAATCCTCACCTCCTTCCCAGCAGTGTCCATATTGCCTCTTCTCTTCCTCCCAGCCCCATGCGTGTAGCCAGAAAGAGAAAAGGCCCTGAAAATTACTGGCAAGTTATGTGGGGGGAGGGGGACAGGCAGGGAGGAGGGAGAGGGATGTGTAAGCATGGGGGTGGGGAGGGAAGAGATTTCTGATAGAGGCTGGAGCTCCCTGACGGGAAGACTGCCGTCCTGTGACACTGCCTCTGAAGTCTCCCATAGCTTGAGCATCCTGTGAACATGGATCTCCTTTCCCGGAAGAAAGCGATTGTCACACAAGAGCCTCAGTTCCAAGAGGAAGAGGTGTGCTTGTGGGAGATAATGGGAGATGGAGCCTTTCATCGCCTAGCTGCTGCTTGGAGCCTGGCAAAAGCCAGAAATGACTAAGGAAGAGGGGGAATAGTCTGGGGTAATTTTGAACCCATTCAGCTGGGATCAAAAGTTCAACTGAAAACCAGGTGGTACTAGGAAAGGAAGCCTGGAAACAGGCTCAGAGAGCAGGCAGAGTGGAAAATAAGCAGAGGCTGTGAAGGGAGCTGCAAAGACAGGGGGACAGAGTCTAGCAGAGTAAATGTCTCTGCTCCTCTGTTCATAGCTAGTGAGCAGCCTTATTATTGGGGAGCTCCAGTAACTGAGAGAGGCCAAATGCACCCTGCTTGTTGGCAGCCTCAGCAGGGAAGTCAAGACTGTATGGGGCTAAGCAGACATCTCCTCTCACGTGTAGAGTCGGGGTTGAGCTGTGGCTATAGGATAGTTTAGGGAAGCATGTTTTGCTGCTGCCCTGCTAAAAGTGTCTGGTGCTGTGGGGACTCTGGACACCAGAGCTGTCAGTCCGGCACAAAATTCACTAAAAAACTTAGTTTTTGGTTTTTGAAAGAAGACCTCTTCTAGAACTACATACAATGCTGAGTGTCATAGAATAGGCACTTCTGTTTACCCTGAGCCATAACACAAGAACAAGGTGGCTGGCCTTGATTAGTTTAAAAAGCAACAGCTAAAAAAAATAGGAGGAGATTCATTTTTACAGAACTTATTGTTAACCTGTGGAACTCCCTGCCCTGGGATATTATTGAGACATATAGCTCAGTTAAGCTTCACAAGTGGATTAGACACTGATATAAGTAAGAATTTAAATTGGCATGGACACTGGCTAGGATTAGATTAACAAAGGTGATCAATCCCCATTCTTCAGTAAACTGATCACTAGTTGGTGTCAGCAAGGGAGTTCCTTCCTGCACACCAACCATGATACAGTAATGCACAATTAGGTATATTACCGGGGGAGGTTAACCCTTACTCTGAAGCCCCAACTACTGATCACTAGCAGAGACAGCATCCTGGACTAGAGGGCCCAATCCTGCACACTATCCAGGCATATCTTCCTTGAAGTCAGTGGGAAGAATCTCAGCAAGGAGTGTCCAGGATTGGGCCAAATATGGCTCATATATCTGATCTAGTATGGCAGCTCCATTGAAAGACAGCAAATGGTGATTAGGAAAACTTCCTGCTAGGAGTCCTGCACCTACCATGAAAGCATCAGTAAAATAAACATGGAACATGAGGTCCTGTGGTTAATATTGGGATAGTAAGTGGGGTGTTAAAAACAACAAAACATCTCATAATCTAACAATGCTGACTATCTGGCATATTATAATCTTATGCACAGAACATACCTGACATTATTCCTAGGAAATTGGCTCTGAGTACAGTATGAACCTGGTTCTGTATGCTGCTGTATCTTCAGAGCCATCAGATTAATTATGGGTACAATGGAAAGTCTCCTATTGACATCAGTGGGCTTGGGATCAGGCTGCATATGTGCCATGGTCTGGTTGCATCTGAAATTGAATAGATTTGGGGATTATACCCTTTATCTGAAATCTCTGTTCTGAGCAGGGTCAATTGCTTGAATGCTGCTTCTCCTACGCCCCCACGGCCACATCTTGAGCAGCAGAACTAAGGGTTCAGAATGCATATGTTAGGCCATGCAGCTGAATGGGGCCCTAGCAGTGGGGATTGACCCTGGGATCTTTGAATCTAAAAGCATGAGGCTGTAGTATCTGAGCTAAGAAATCATGCTCTGTTAGCTCAGACTATAGCAGGCCCAGCCACCAATAGAGGGAGACAGAGAGCCACATGGAGTGGGTTACATACATGGAGCAGGTGTGGCTTACATTTACACATGACCATACAGGAGCATACTGTATGTATGGCGCATTAGGGTGCATCCCCATGTGTGGTAAGTAAAGGTGCTCATGATTGAATAGTGGGGTAGCTGTTTCTTCTAGGAAAGCAGCTTAATTGTGTTTATGATGGAGTGTTTCAGTTAATTTTTATTGTGTGTTCGGTGGAACAGGTCCATGGAGAGGCGGCATTTCTCCATGGCATTCAGTGCTTTCGTGGACTGCACCCCCAGAGCCCCCTTCCATGTTCTTTGGGTTGGAGGATTTGATCTGCAGAGATATTACACTAGGGATTTTCTCTTGAGAAAACATGACTCCATTTATACAGCACATGCATTAATTACTGTACAGCACAGTGCGGGACTGTCACTTGCTGTGTGTTTGTACAGTACTTACCACCCTGGGGCCCAAGCTGGGTGGTGGCCTGAGGTGCTACTGCAAATACATGGTAAATAATCCCAGTGAAGGCCACAAAGGAGACTGATTAGCTAGCTGAGAGGGTTGAAAATGAAATGTAAAAGTAAAGGCCCCTGGTCAGGAAGGATCTTTCACAGCAGTGAGTGTGTTACCACTAATTCCTGGGTCTGTGGCTGGGTCCAGCGTGGGTTATTACATCCTGCCTGCTTACCGTTCCCCTGGCAGTGTCAGTGGGGGACATTAGTCTTCTTCTGTCCCAAGCTTCATTTCTTTTCCGAGCTGTTGGGCTGGGTTGCTGTGAGCTGTTAAATAGCAGCTGTGTCCCTTCCCAGAGGTGGGTGTGCTCCAGTGGTAGATTCTGATGTGCCAAGTCAGTGCATCCATTTCAAAACGGGGCTCCTTTGGATCAAAGGCTCTGTGTCAATGCAATCACCCGGTCTACCATAAAGATGGAGAACAGCTGCAAGTCATCAAAACCAATGTTACATTCTTTTATACCTTTCTTGGGAGGAAAATTTTGCCCTTAGTTGGGCACCTGCCAAAGACCCAGTGGAAGCTCTGGTTGCATATGTCAGGGCAGAATTTGGGCTATAGTATTTTTCATTCTAAGTAGAAGAAAATGATGAGTTTGTAGTTTTCCCTGGTTGATTTTTGCTGATCCTGGTAATAACTGGATTCATGTTCCAGTTTTGCTCCCTTCATGTGAAATATAACTCCCACCCTGACCCCATCCCATCTGCTGGCTTGTAGCAAATAAAAACTAATGCCAGGGTGCGTCTTTCATTGGCAGGGATCTTCGGGCAGCGATTGGAAGACACGGTGCAATACGAGCGGAAGTATGGCCTGCGGCTGGCCCCACTGCTGGTGGAGCAATGTGTGGATTTTATCCGGGAGCGAGGCCTCACCGAAGAAGGGCTCTTTCGCATGCCTGGTCAAGCCAACCTTGTCAAGGACCTGCAGGATTCATTTGATTGTGGAGAGAAGCCCCTCTTTGACAGGTGAGTTGGTATCTTAGTTGCTCAAGGCGAGCGTCAAACTCTTGATCGTTAACACATGTCTCTGTAACATCCCTGGCTTCTGATAACATCCCAGATGTGGCAGTCTTGGAAGATGCTCATTTCCAACTGTGGTTCTCTTTATTTAACATGCTCTCTATGGGCTCAGTCCTGCAAGGTCCACTGGGCTCTGGTCCAGGGTGTTTAAGCATGACCTGAAATTTGAGCAGGTGCCTAGTTGATGAGACTGCTCATGTGCTTAAAGATAGGCACACGCTGAAGTGCTTTGCTGGGCTGGAGTGCTCAGCGGCTTACGGGAGGATCAAGACATAGAACAGATGTGACATTAACGACACTCTGTCTGGGCAGGGTGTCTGACCACTTGTTCCCATAGGGTCCTCTCACCACGTGCTAGTCTCCACAAGACCTAGGCTGTTTTTTTCTTCCCCTTTGACTGGTCTGAAGTCTCGGTCAGAAGCACCAAAGGGATGTCCCCTGGCCATTACACCTGAAGTGTGGAGAGCTGGTTAGCAATTTTCCACCAAAACAATTTTTTTCAACAAAAATGGCTTCTTGATAAAAATGAAAATGGAAATGTTGCTGAAATTCCAGCAACTGGAACAGTTTTGGGTTGAAAACTGAAAAATAGCTGCTTTTTGTTGGGAGAAAATTGAAACATTTCTCCATTTACAACCCCCTCCCCCTAAAAAAGTCAGAGAATTTTGACAAAAATATTGATGATTTCCGGTTTTATTGAAAATTTTCACAAGGGGAAAACTAATTTCCTGTCCAGAAACGAGGTGTGCCTGCTGTGCCGGAGGGGGGGAGCGGGAGGAAAGGCCCACCCGGACCTGCCAAGTGACTTTTATAGTATCATCAAATTTAAGGCCAGATCCTCTAGCCTGACCTCTTTTATATCACAGGCCACCAGCCCCCGCGCACTAAACCCAGGACCAAAATGAGATCACCAAGTATTACAACCTGCAGGAGACTAGATTCTTATGTGCCACAGGCGGAGACTAGGAGGGACTGAGGTGCAGCAGGCCCAAGGCCCCGTAATGGCTGGGAAATTATTGACATATCCAGATAATCCTGACAAGTGACCCGCACCTCACACTGCAGAGGAAGGTGAACCCCTCCCCCCTCCCGCTCCTCTCCAAGCTCCCTGTCAATTTGACCTGGGGGGAAATTCCTTCCAATCCCACCTATGGCGCTGCGAATGTGAGGAGGAACTAGCCAGCCATGCACCTGAGAGAGAGAGAGAATGCTCAGTGCCCTCTCAGAGCCCTGTCCCATCCTGTCCAATGTCCCATCCCCAGCCATGGCCATCCCTGTTGCTTCAGAGGAAAGAGATTTAAAAAACCCTCCCAGAATACAGGGGGGAGAACAGTGTCTAGCCAAATACGCCCAATATTGCAGCCCTGAGCCTCTCCTGAACATATGTGCAGTTTGCCAAACTGCACAGTGCTTCTAGAAATGGGCCCCCCCACCGGTAACCCTGCGCAGCTGAACGCCAGGGAAATTTGATCCAGGTCCAGATGCTGCGGGAGTTTGGATCCTAATATCGTGACCGTGACCTGTTGCTAGTGATTTTGCTGGGTAAGATCATTTTCACTGGTGATCTAAGCAGCACTTGAACCCGGGTCTTGTGGCCAGACCCCTAAGCAATGATGCCACCATCTCTTTGCCCCTGCAAGCAGCCTACACTTTGTCTGTCTGTGCCCCCCACGCTTTCTGCTGCAGGAAGAGGTAGCATGGGCCTGAGTGGGGGATGCTGGGTTGCTCATTTCCAGCCTGGGAGGAATGTCTTTAAGAGTTTACTGAAGACATTCTTCCAATTCTTCCCTCCCCATCTCCACTTCCGGGCCACCCATCCTTCCCTCTTTGATTCTTAACCACAGTCAATATTTGTTCGCTCAATGGCACTATCCAAGTGGAGTCCACCCCCTCCTCCACATGGCTGGATGACTCCTTACATTGTGGTTCAGCTTCCTGCTGGGATGGGGGAAGGAGGTGGGGGAAAGGCACGTGACTCCTGTCCTCCAGCTCAGCAGATGGGAAAAATCAACTTGCCACTCTTCTGGGTGCCCGCGATGGTGCTGCTGGGAATGAAACCCCATGAAACCGCCTCTGCACTTCGCTTTGGGGAAGCTTTGATTGAGTGCACGCCTTCCTCTCGCATCTCCTAGGGCTTGTCTGTACGGGGATACGCAGGAAAGTGAAGATGAATTAGCTAAAAGCGCAAAGTTAATTTAATTTGCTTTAGCTTCAGCCTCCTTCAAAGGGAATTCAGCTGCAACGAACTGAGGTCACTTTACTTCTGAATGAGAGTGTCCACACAGAAGTTTAATGCATTTTAACTTCACACCTTTAGTTAATTCAGCTTGTCCCCTGGTACATGAGCCCTAAGATAGCTGTAGCTCCAGAACAGGTGCAGTGTTAGGGCAAGCTTCGCCGACACCCTGATATTCACTGAATTCAATCCTACTTGCAGGTGCCTATCGGAGGGCAGAAGTTGGCTCTTTATGTAGGGAGAAGTGGCTCTGTTTGCTTTTGCAGACAAGATTTGGGTCTTGTACTTTCCAAGGGCAAGGGAGAAGTGGGGTGGTGGGCAGAGGGGCTGATAACACAGCTTGTGAGCTCAGTTGGTTCTAGGAGATTTTTCTGTCTTCTTGGGCCTGGTGAGAATTTGCTGCTGGCATATCTGAACCTAAAGCCAGATTTGGAATTGAGCCCAAACTGTGAACCCCAATTTCAGCCTACTCTGACTCTGACCACCTATTTGCTGGCCCATCTCTGCTGCATAGTTACTGTTATCCTGTATTACAATCAGACCTTTCTTGACATGTGCCCATGAAGCAGAGGCCTAGCTGTGGTGGAGACTGTCATTGTCCAAACCAGTGCAAGCTTGGGAGTAAACTCCTGTTTTGATGCCCTTATCTTAGGGCTTGTCTTCACTATGGGGGTAAGTGGACCTAAGTTTCGCTACTCCAGCTAGCGGCGTCTTCACTGCGCTGCGTTGACGGGAGACACTCTCCAGTCGAATTTCCTTACTCTTCTCAGAGAGCTGGAGTACTGGGGTCGACCAGAGAGCGCTTGCCATCGATTTAGCAGATCCCTGCAGCAGTGTCGATCTCCAAGTGAAGACCAGCCCTTAGTTTGAGTAGCTTACTTCAGTTTAGCATGAACCTCTTCCTAATCGACTCAAGTTACACCCAAAAAAAAAAAAAAAAGCCACAAAATAAGTGTCTAGACAGGGGTTTGCACGGGTTTAGCTAAACTGGTTTAAAATCAGACCTTTAGATAAATTGGTATAACTCTCCATATCAGTCCTCTTAATTCTGAACATCCTGCCTTTGGCCAATTAAAGTCTGAAACACGTCCATTAGCATTGTTTGTTTTTTCATAGAATTAGATCGGCTAACGTGCACAGTATAGCTAAGGCTGGTGGGAGCAGACAGGCAATGAAAGAGCAAATTGTATAGCTGAAGGGAGAGGATGGGGAACAGGTGACCAGCTCCTTACACATCCAACTATAATATATAGGCAAAAAGGGTGCATGATCCTCGAGGACTTCAGTTTGTGTGACATATGCTGGCGGTCTCATGCTGCGAGTACTAAAACATCCCTGGAATTTCTAAATATTGTAGGAAATTGTCACCTAACTCAAAAAGTGTTGCCGCTAACCCGGGGGGAGTCTATATTAGACCTTGTCATAACAGATAAAAAGGAACTGATCACAGAACTAAAAATTAATGGTAGCTTAGGTACAAGTAATCATGACTTGATCACATTTATAATGTGTAAACAGAATAAAGTCCACTCCAGTGATTATTTATATATATATATATACATACACATGCGGTGCTTTAAAAAGGACAATTTCACAAAGCAGGAAACAATTTTGAGTCAGATCTGCTGACAGGAATAATTTAATCATAAATTGTTTTAAGACCATTGTACTTAGATGCCCCAAAAGCCAACATTGAGGAATATAATTATAGCTGCTTTCACTGCCCCTTTAAACCAGGTCATTTTTTAAACTAATATAGCCTTCTTCCTCACCGCTGGCTTTTTGGGCATCTAAGTAAAATGTTCTCATAACAATTCCCAACTACCACTCCCATTTTTCTGATTAAATTATTCCTGTCAGCAGAGCTGACTCAAAATTGTTTCCTGCTTTGTGAAATTGTCCTTTTTAAAGCACCGCATGTGTATGTATATAATCACTGGACTGGACTTTATTCTGTTGGCATATTATAAATGTGATTAAGTCATGATTACTTATATACAGTGTGTGTGTGTGTATGTGTGTGTAAAACAAATGGAAGAAAGGTAAAGTTGATAGTAAGGAATATAAATCAGAAGCTAAGAATGTAGAAAATTGATAAGGGAAGCAGAGCTACAGCCAGCAGAGTAAAGGACACCAAGACATTATACAAGTATATTAGGAACAAAAAAAATCCTGACAATAGTACTGGCCCATAACTAGATGGAAATCATAGAATTATCAATAATAAAGCAGAAAAGGCAGAAGTGTTGAATAAATATTTTTGTTCTATATATGGGTAAAAGCCAGAAGATGTAGTCTCATTGTGTGATGATAACACCTTTACCATTAGTATCTCAGGAAGATGTTACACAGCAGCTACTAAAGTTAGACATTTAAAAAATTTAAAACTTTCCTCCAGGAGTTTTAAAAGAGTTGGCTGAGGGGCTTGCTTGACTTTTGTTGTTCATTAGAATACTAAGAATAAAATTGTCAGACACATAGAAGAACATAAATTGTTGGGCAAAAGTCAACATGGTTTCTCTAAAGGGAAATCGTGTCTTACTAATCTATTAGAGTTCTTTGAAGGGGTCAACAAATATGTGGACAAGGGGGATCCAGTGGACATAGTGTACTTAGATTTCCAAAAAGCCTTTGACAAGATCCCTCACCAAAGGCTCGTACGTAAATTAAGTTGTCATGGGATAAAAGGGAAGGTCCTTTCATGGATTGAGAACTGCTTAAAAGACCAGGAACAAAGGG